CTAAATTTCCTGTTTTTACTTGCACGAGAGATCGTTTGCGACAGTTTGAGCCTTTTTCTGAGCATTTTTCCTCTTGATCAAATATTCTCCCTTACTGTAAGACAATAGAGACAAGTTAAAGATCAGCAAGTTGAGCTTGGATGGTATAAAGAATATTTTGTTGGAATTCGGACTTAATTTAAAATAAAAATTATTAATTAATTTACAAATCTTTTTTTTTTTTTTTTTTGGGGGGGGGAGGTGGAAATGTAACAGATGCTGAAAAAATGATCATTTGAATCAGTTTCTTATTCTGAAGAATGTAGGCAAGACCTTAAATTTAATGCTTATCTCATTTTGAGTTGCCGCCCCAGTTATGTATTTGTGAATAGGACAGGATTAGGAAACAGAAAATTGACGGAATGAGAATCCTTCAAATTATGGCTAGAGATACGGACTGGACAGAAGCTTGCCTGGATTGGTTGCAACTACGAATCTAGACTGTTGGGACATGGGCAGCAGCAGCCATAGCAGCAGCAGCAGCAGCAGCACTAGCAGCAGCAGCACTAGCAGTAGCAGCAGCAGCAGTAGCAGCAGCAGCAGCGGGGTTTTGCTCTCGTGTGTTGTGGACTGTGCCTTGTGCAACATTTGATCACCACTAAAATAACTAGCAAGGTTATACAATATGACAGAATGTCAGTGAGAAAGTTGATACCTTAGAAGATTAGTAAATTCACAAGTTTTCTTTTAGTTTTTTGTTTTTTGAACATCGTTTTCTTTTACTAAAACTAAAAAAAAATTTTTTAAAGATAAAAAAAATAATGAAGAATGTCGTTTTGCTGCAGTTTATGGAAGTCTAGCAGAGGAAAGGTATATTTTGAAATTGACAAAAGATTTTGAAAATTCTTTGTTAAAAAATAGGAGAAAAAAAGGAATATCCAAATTTGAAAGAAAAAAACTCAAGAGGACAGAAAGGTGTTGTAAATAAGATTTCTTGAGTTGTAATGTTTTTTGTTAATCTGTTGACCATTGACTGTTGGATGAAGCATTTGTCATTTTAATGCTTTGAAGGGAATGTTACCTTACTACTCGGATGAAGTGAATATGATTGATAATTATTTTATTACCTCAATACAACTAGTAAGTGTTGTTGAGACTTTTTGAAGCAACAAAGGTGGAAGAAGTGAATGTGATTGATATTCATAATCTGTTTGTAACATTTGGTCATGATAAGGAATAGACGATGATGTAACTGATCAGTGCTGGAATCACTAAAGGAATAGACGATGTAACTGATCAGTGCTGGAATCAGTAAAGGGATAGACGGTGTAACTGATCAGTGCTGGAATCAGTAAAGGGATAGACGGTGTAAATCACTCCAATATGCCCTTGTGGAATTGTTCTCCCGTTTTGCAGTGGTCCCGTGTTGTGTGTACTTGCCAAAATTCTGTCGCTCGTTCAAAACTATATTTCTTTTTTGTGTGTGTGTGTGTAAGAGAGACACTTACTGTGTTCTGTGATACCTTCCCCCCTGGTGTGAGCGATGATGCCTATATTGGGGGGGGGGGGGGGGTGTGCAACCGTCACCCTGATGATCCACCCCAAATGTGAACTGCACATTTGGTCTGATAGATATCCCCCAACCCCCCCCCCCCCTTCCCACTTTCCATACCCCCATTGAGTCCATAGTGCCGTAAAACACCTACTCAATCAATCAATCAAAATCCAAACCCCATTCCTCTTTTGTAAAGTGATGAGTTGAGTATGTATGACATTTCACAAAGTAAAGTAAAAGCCTGGGACCATCAAAGTCTCTCTCTCTTTTTTATGTTTGGTCGAGTGGATTAAAAAAAATGTTTCATAGCTGAGTGGTATTTTGGAATCGCTCACATAGTATTTTATGCTGTTTGCTGATTGCATTGATTATATATCATGTACCGTGTACTTTATGATGTTTTTTCTGAATTGTATTTTATTCGTGTCGGCATCATTTGCCTCTCTTAGCTTTATTGAGGATAGAGCTTGTCTTGCTTGTCGTGGTATATAATCTGCTTCTTTTGCGGTTATTTTTCTTTTTTTTTAAAATTTGTTCCTTGTTGATTCTTCCACTTCATTTTTCTATTTACAATTCAATATATTTTTTTAAATAGATGTAACTGTTTCAACCCCCTAAACTTTGGTTTAAAAAGAATTCAAGTTGTACAAAGTATTGAGCTTAAAACGCTGTTTTGATTAAAGTGTTATGACAATCATCTGTGGAATAACTGACCTATTGTTAATATTAAAGCTTTGCGACATTTCTGAAGTGGTCTTCTCAAACACAAATATGACGTCCACTTTGACGGGATGAACATATTCTGCTTTGTGCCTCCGTGGGTGTTTGACGGATGCTCTGGTGTGGTTTGCTCTCTTTCCTGTCAAACATCTATCGTCCTTATCTCCCCCTCCTTCTTTTTTGTGTTTGTTACTCTCTTGTAACACCTCTAATCTTCGACACTTATATGACCTTATTGTGTTCCAAGTGCCGTAAAACACTTACTAAAAGTACAACTTTGTGCCCTCTTTCAGAAAAATCGAGGATCTACAAAAAGACTTGTCGAACTCTTCTCAAAGTCTAGCTAAAAACCAGGAGTCTTACCAGGAACTACAGCGGGAGAAGGACAGGCAACTAGAAGAGACAACTAGGGATTTTGAGGGCAAACTTGCCAAACTGCAGGACGAAATAGGGGATCTTGTGAGTGGTTTGGTTTCCCCCTGGAGTGTTGATTGAGAGTGTCTGTTGCTGAGTTGAGATCCTTTATTTGTCTGCTGCATGGGCGAAAGTTGGCTGGCATATCCCAGTGCCGCCGGTTTGTTTACCTTAACAGACCTAGATCTGCCGGTTTTTTAAACTGGGGCCGGCACGTACGTGGATGAAAACCGGCAAAAACCGGTGGGGGGGGGAGGCTGCCACTGGCTGAAGTGTCTTTTAGCCATTCCGAAAAGAGGGACCTTTACCTTTTTCTTATGTAAAACACAGTAGAATTGTAAACGGGCTGATTTATCAATGTCATGCTCATAACTGTGCCGGAACTACAACAGGGAACTGCTGCTTTTTGTTTCCTAATCCTTACTATTGTCATTTTTCCTTTACTTCTTTTGTATGTTTGTCACTCTCTTGTGACCCGCTATTTCCGAGGTGCCTTGATAGTCGAAGCAGACTTTGTGCTGTTGAAGCTAGAGAGGTGAGCAGAGTAAGTCTGATTCCCTGTTTTGACTTCTCTGT